TTTTTTGTCTTTTTTTTTTTTTTTTTTTTTTTTTTTTTTTTTTTTTTTTAAATCTTAAACAAAAAACCACCTAATTAAGGGGAGAAAGGGTGGGCCTAGAGAATACCCCGTGTGCACTACCTATTGGGGGAAACATATGAATAAATAGACGTTATGTATAAAGGTACAAAGTAGACTAAGTGACGTCACGTCCTCTCATTTTCCGGCATTTGCACTCGCACCAGAAATCCTTGCTCGGCGAGTCCGCACAACTGTTCCCCTGTGAGCTCATCACGTGACTTTAATGTACATCGGACATATGCTTATAACATTGTTGGCACCAGTGATGAAATAATACCTTTCTATTTATCATTACATCCACAGCAGCTTCAGATGAAAGAAAGTCTTCCTTTTGCAATGCACTACAACCGTAATGACATTTACCGGTACAATTTTTTTTTTAGAATAATGACCCGAATGATTTCGTTACGGTGTGATCTGTGAGTGGTTTCTGAGTTGATGATCTCAAAGTTGTTGTTGTTCGGTGGACGCTTCCAACAGCAGGTTTATCCAAGGTCAGGTAAGACTTGCACTCGGTCTCTTACCTATATATAGTGACATTTAAACGACTGGATACAGACATTTGACAGACTCAACACGAAAAGACATTTGAGAGATTCAACACAAACAGACATCTGAGAGATTCAACACAAGCGGGCCTTTGACAGACTCAGCACAGACAGGCATCTGAGAGATTCAACACAAGCGGGCGTTTGACAGACTCAGCACAGACATCTGAGAGATTCAACACCAGCGGGCATTGGAGAGATTCAACACAAGCGATCCTTTGACAGACTCAGCACAGACAGACATCTGAGAGATTCAACACAAGCGGGCGTTTGACAGACTCAGCACAAACAGACATCTGAGAGATTCAACACCAGCGGGCATTGGAGAGATTCAACACAAGCGGGCCTTTGACAGACTCAGCACAAACAGACATTTGATCCACTAAACGAAAACAATGTGTGTCCGACTGGACACAAAAACATTAGGCCAACTGGACATTGACATTTGGCCAACTGGACATGGACATTCGGCCAACTGGACATGAACATTCGGCCAACAGGGCATGGACATTCGGCCAACTGGGCATGTACATTCGGCCAACTGGGCATAAGAATTTGGTCGACTGGACACGACCATCGGGCCACCTTAGTTTGATCAGCTTATCAAGAGATACACATGTAACCCGCCACTTTTCACGTAGTCCCTCAACCACGCCTTAATGGCCACCGGATCCTGGTATGCAGGTGATTATGAAAAACAATAATTCTGAACCGGAAAGAGATGTAAGATGGATGACATTTCTTGCATTCCACCGTAATGCCAATTAATGACATGTTAAACAGATAGATGGTCTTATCTGGTAATTGACTATTTCATGAACGCACTAACGACAGTGTTAATGCTCTGGCAGCTTTGACAAATAATCTTTAATGATGTGGGGCACCCAAAATATTTCCTTAACAGATATAACCTTATTACAGTTTATAAATGTCTCCGTACACTCACACACACAAAAAGGTGCTGACCACAGTACTAGGAAAACACTACTGGAAGCAAAGTATGCGGTAATGAGAGCTTCCAGAGCCTTGCCCTAGTTCATCCCATTGTTTCAAAGCTCTGGATGCCATCTCATTCACGCCAAAGATATAACGATACGTAGCCCTGTGCACGTGACTCCGTAAGAAATGAATAACTGCTGTGGAACTTTATGATTCGATCAATCGGCTGGCGGTAAAACTTTAAGGTGGAGATTGCTCGAGACCCATTACCGCGTGATGTCGTGTCTTTGATGGGCTAGAATCCAGGGCTGCCACACCTTGGGAAATTTCCCAAGATCTTGGGAATTCACTACCCCATTCAGGGCCAAAACTCACTTTTTTAAAAGAAATTCCCAAATCCTTTAAAAGAAACTCATTTTTGTTTTCATGATCTTGGGAAATCTTGGGAAATGTTTTTACCAAATCTTGGGAATTTTTAAAAAAAATTGAGTGGCAGCCCTGCTATAATCATTAGACTAGCTGGCTCCTGAACCCACATCGGGTGGGTCTTAACTGCGGGATGGAAAATAAACGACCATGTTTGAAATATTAAAACCAAGGTTAAAGAGAATCCAGGCCCAATGACTTGACAAATTGAGCCAGTAACTGCGATGGTCATTGTTTACTGTTACACACCCAGCAGTTGCTGTGTATCAAAATTAATGTAACACACTCTGTGGTTATTGTGTGCCATTGTTAACATTACACAAAAATCCCATTGTTATTATGTGCAAAGCGAATCCACTTATTTTAAAGACCGTACACTGACCAGATGAGCACAGCAAGTGTGTTATATAGGCTTCCCTTTCACATCGTTACACATGGTTTTATGTGCACTGGGGTAGTGGGGAGGATAAAGGGAACGGAAGAGTGAGAGAGAGTGAAAGAGAAAGATAGAGAGGCAGAGAGAGAGAGTGAGAGAGAGAGAGAGTGAAAGAGAGAGAGAGAGTGAAAGAGAGAGAGAGAGAGTGAAAGAGAGAGAGAGAGTGAAAGAGAGAGTGAGTGAGAAAGAGGCAGAGAGAGAGGGTGAGAGAGTGACGGAAAGATCGTGTGTGAGAGAAAGAGAGTGAGAGTGATCGAGAGACAGAGAGAGAGAGAGAGTGAGAGAGTGAAAAAGAGTAAGAGAGTGACAGAGAGATTGAGAGAAACTGAGAGAGAGTCAGATACAGAGAGAGAAAGAAAGAGAGAGAGAACGAGTGAGTGGCGAGATTGAGAGAGGAGATAGTGAGATATAAAGACTGTCTGTGAGAAGGAGGGGGGGGGGGGGTTCCAAGTGGACATTCTTGCTAAGTGCAAATAAACAGCATTACGGTTATATCAAAATAGAGTGGACGTAGTAGAGCAGGATTAACGTTAAACCACCAACACTCACGACCGAGATAGTGAGATATAAAGACTGTCTGTGAGAAGGAGGGGGGGGGGGGTTCCAAGTGGACATTCTTGCTAAGTGCAAATAAACAGCATTACGGTTATATCAAAATAGAGTGGACGTAGTAGAGCAGGATTAACGTTAAACCACCAACACTCACGACCGTGGCTCGCGTGTTTGAAACCAGCCAGCGGCCCGCATTGCTCGCGCTGCACCATTTTATGTTATACATGTATAGTTGGTTGGCGTTGACACAAACACACACACACACTTAAGAGTTTCCTGTTGTCGAAACAGGTTTATGTCTTATTGTCCGGTTACAAGACCTCCTTTGAGTGTGAGTTACGAGAAGTCGTGTAGGAGGATGTGACTTGTTTCAGCCGTCGCTATCAACGTGGGGGCTCGTTCCCTGAGGATCTGTTGTGTTCCTTAAAGGTTAAAGAGGGCGAACGTTCATAAAAAAAACAAAAAACCTACACGTGGGAGTAGGAGGGAAAAACAAATCCCTTCCTGATTACAAATAGCAACATTGTAGCGTGAGGCTGTGTTGTTACGGGATTAAAAGTTGGTTTTCAATGCTGGATAAACCAAAGAGCGGACGATTTGAAAACGCATCTGACCAGTTGTGAACCGTGTCCACAACCAACCACTGCATCGGATCTGTTTTAGTGAACACGTCCATGTCAACCTGACCGAGACTGGTCGATAGGTAAGACGCTCAAGGTCTGTCTATAGGTCACATGTATTCATGTCTTATGTGTAAATGTTATATGCCTTCATATCTTATATATATATGTCATATGTATTCGTGTGATATGTATGTATGTCATATGTGTGTATGTCATGTATATGTGTCATATATACATGCTGCATACACAAAATAATATAATAGAGCATTCTCTTAAACCAAATCTGAGCAATGGCTTAATTATTCAAGCATAACTAAATTTTTTCCTATCGAACCAAATCTGAGCAATGGCTTAATTATTCTGGCATTAACTATATTTTTTTCTTTCTTGCACCAAATCTGAGCAATTGTTTAATTATTCTGGCATATCTATAATGTGTTCCCCTCGCAGCAAATCTGAGCAATGTTTCAACTATCCTGGCCTTGCTCTAAGGTTCCCTACCAGCTTATGTAGCACAGCAAGAAGAGAGCAACGCGTCATTCATTAAACATGTTTTGATGACGAGAGTGAACGTTGGAGTAACAAAGTAATCAATTATTATGAGTTTACTTTAAGTAACCGCAGTGGAACAAATAAGTCTATGGGGGAAAATACGATGTTACGTAATATTTTTTTTTAATTTTTTTTTTTTTAAATTTGTTGTAAAATTAGTTAATTCCATCACGAGCGTCATTTCCTTTCCTTTGTTGGTCCATACAAGATGTGTTCATTATTACATGGTCGTCACTATTGGTCACTCCATATCTTTCGCCGTTACATGTGATCACGCAAACAACAGTTTAACCTCACATAGCACAATCTGCATGCACCATGTACTAGCCACATGGAATACACGATAGCCATATAAACCACATGCACCACACTCGAGGCACGCGGAACACATACTAGTCACTAGGCACACGGAACAAACACTAGGCACGCGGACCACACACTAGGCACGCGGACCACACACTAGGCACGCGGACCACACACTAGGCACGCGGACCACACACTAGGCACGCGGACCACACACTCGGCACGCGGACCACACACTAGGCACGCGGACCACACACTAGGCACGCGGACCACACACTACTCACGCGGACCACACACTACTCACGCGGACCACACACTACTCACGCGGACCACACACTAGGCACGCGGGCCACATACTTGGCCAATGGACCACACTTGGCACACGGACCACATACTTGGCCAATGGACCACACTTGGCACACGGAACACACACTTGGCCAATGGACCACACTTGACACACGGACCACACACTTGGCCAATGGATCAAACAATGAGCACTATTAACATCAGTTTACAGTTCTCAGTGGGCAATTTGTCGGCCCCGCCAACACAGAATGAATGACACCTACAATGCCATTTTCAATCCGCTGACCCAGCAGATGTCTCCCATCATAATGTGTTCACCCCTAAACCGATGTAATCGTGGTAAAGAGTGGCAGTCGGGGCATTTTTTTGTGTAAGCAGGGCAACAAATGTATTTATAGTTGAATTGAAAGATAGTATCACACAAGGCTACACGTAGCTACTTGGAGAGCTCTTCAAATCCCGGCGTGACCTGTGGCAACATATTTCAGATACGATCAAATGGGTTTAAGCATAAAACAAGTAAAACACCAGGCGATATAGAATACTTTATGTCTAGGACAATGGGTAATAGTGTTAACTCCAAAGGGTAATAGTGTTAACTCTAGGACGATGGGCATAGGTAATAGTATTGACTCTAAGACAGCGGTTAATAGTGACTCTATGACAACGGGTAATAGTGTTAACTAAAGGAAACTGATAAATATTGTTAACTAAAGGACAAATGGTTATACTGTTAACTAAAGGACAATGGGTAATACTGTTAACTAAAGGACAAAGAGTAATATTTTAACTAAAGAACAAAGAATATTTACTAAAGGACAATAGGTAATAGTGTTAACTCCAGGACAACGGGTAGTAATGTCAACTCTAGGACTCCGTCTTTTAGTTGAAAATCACACCTCAGGGTCAACACTACCCGGATGAAACTATTAAGAGGGAGTTTTTGTAACGGACATTTTAAATAATGTACGAAATAAATCCACAATAATGGATGAGCCGAGGACAAAATGACAGCAAACGGATAGTTACTCATACATTGTTTCAACAATCAGCTTCTTGAAATAAGTTTTTTTTTTTCTACGACTCTTACATTGTTTGAACAATCAGCTTCTTTAAATAAGCTATTTTTTCTTACTCTACATTTCTCTGACTCTTACATTGTTTGATCAATCAGCTTCTTTAAGTAAGATATTTTTTCTTACTCTTATATTGTTTCAACAATCAGCTTCTTTAAATAAGCTATTTTTTCTTACTCTACATTTTGTAACAATCAACTTCTTAAACTAAGCTATTTTTTCTTACTGTAACAATCAACTTCTTAAAATAAGCTATTTTTTCTTACTCTACATTTTGTAACAATCAGCTTCTTAAAATAAGCTATTTTTTCTTACTCAACATTTTGTAACAATCAACTTCTTAAAATAAGCTATTTTTTCTTACTCTACATTTTGTAACAATCAGCTTCTTAAAATAAGCTATTTTTTCTTACTCAACATTTTGTAACAATCAACTTCTTAAAATAAGCTTTTTTTTTTCCTCTGACTCCCCCTTCCCCCACCCCATCCCGTTATTTTAAAGGTGGTTTACAATTCTTTGTCTTAATCGCTTTATACTCAAAATTTAAACGGCTAAACGTATATATGATGAGATATCATGGGAGCTCTCAGACCAATTAGATGCTTCTGTCTCGCCCGTCATTAATTACAACAACATATTTTTTTTTTAAATTGTTCAGAAATAAACAAGACAATCTCTGCCCGAGCTAAGCACCCAGGGCATTCCGAAATAATCTTGGCATCACTACAAGTCTAAATGCGGTCTCATTACCGTCAACAATCTTCAGCCACCATTTGATTCAAAGCTGGCTTCATTACCAAATTAAAGTCTTATATCTTAAAACTAATAAAAGTAACTTCCCTGGGGCACACTTATATATACGAGATGGTTTCTCGTGCTCTTTATCGTAAAGCCATCAAGTGAAGTTTACCCGAGCATTTGTCATAGTTGTCAGATGAGTTGGTGGAACTCGCCGAATTATCAGCGAACACATTGAAGAAAACAATGTTCCGACCCATCTTACTTCAACAATAGTAACCTTATAGGTGGTACTGATGTTTACTAATGTCCACTACATTGATACACAGCACCATATAGGTGATATGTCCAATAGATTGATACACAGCACCATATAGGTGATATGTCCAATAGATTGATACACAGCACCATATAGGTGATATGTCCAATAGATTCATCCACAGCACCATATAGGTGATATGTCCAATAGATTCATCCACAGCACGATATGAGTGATATGTCCAATAGATTGATACACAGCACCATATAGGATGGCTGATGTGAAAGAAGATCTACAGCAGCTGGGAATCCAAGCATGGAAAACGAAAGCATTAGTTAGGTCTGAGTGAAAGGAAGTGGTGAGGCAGGCCAAAGTCCTACAGGGCCTCTAGCACCACAAGAATGGATGGATGATCTCCGCCAATAGATTGATGCAAAGTTTTTGAGACCATGAGACAACGTCAAATGAAACTCTCTTTTTTTAGATTTTCTTTTAGTTTTCAACACTCACCCCAGTCACCCTCCCCCCACCCCCAACTCACCCTTTTCGAAATTTGTTTAAAATATCCAATCAAAGTATATATCCCAGATCCTTACACAATTCCTAATATCTTATCAGTTCCCCAACGGACAGTTCCAGCGCAATGAGTTAATTTCATTTTATGTGTCCTCTTTCTCTCGTTTTAATGGTCATCTTTTGTAGAGACACGTCCGCTGCTTCTTGTTATCTTGTGACAATGCATTAATTCACCGTGCTAACAACGCTTTCTTTCTGTTAAGCCTCTCCGCTGCACAACTCGCTCTGGCCGTCGGGGCTAGACGCCAACGATGCCACCTGACGTCCACGCCAACGGCAGCAACGCGAGCATGATCTACACGGACACCACCAACCCGAGGCTGGTCAACGGCGTCGTCGTGCTGCTGCTCCTCATTCTCAACCTGCTCGGCAACGGCCTCGTCTTCTACGTGTACAAGTTCCGCGTCAAAGTAAGTGAGTTCTGCCCTGACCCCCCGGGCGTGTCAATCAAAGTCTGCGACACGAACTTAACTGTGTATGACACAGTCGAATTGAATGTTCAAAAAAAAAACTTTCCCTGGGAGTAAGTCACTTACGTCAAAATAAAACTAATTCATGACACACACCAGACACACCGACACACACCAGACACGCCAACACACACCAGACACGCCAACACACACCAGACACACCGACACACACCAGACACATCGTATTTTTAATCTCTGTTACGATAGAAACTACGTCCAAAATATGATTATAAGTTTGCATGGATTATTTTATACGGTCAACCGAGTTAATGTGCCAGCGCTTGGACAAAACAAATATTCTGGACACGGGCTTTCATTAAAAAGAAAATGACGTATTGAATCGAATTGCCCCCCCCCCCCAACCCCTTTTTTCATGTGAGAGATTTCAACATCTTTTTCCTTCATCATTATCAGCCAAAGATGTTACTTTTCTCTTTCAGAAAACCATATTCTCCTTATTCGTGACCATCCTGGCAGTCCTGGACTTGTTGTCAGCAGTGACTACCATGCTCATGGATGTCATCGTCAAGGTCAGGCCCCTGGACGAGAAGGACATGTCGCTGGCGGCCCTGTGCAAACTGACCCACTTCCAGGTCTACGCCAATCATTTGATCAGCGGGTGTGTCCTGACACTCATTGCATACCAGCGGTACAGGAAGGTGTGTCTGCATGCACTATTATTTGATTAAAACTATCAACTTCAGATGGACGATAGATTACATATTTCATCCAACTCAACTAAGTGGATATTCAGTTAACCAAATGATATGAAAATTCCAACCAGAGGCGAGCACCCCCTTTGCATGCGCTACTGTGGGTTTTAAAAGAACATTAGAGTAAAACAAGTCCCTTGATTAATTACCTATCAGGTTAATACTCTAAGCCCAGCGGTTCTTAACCAGGGGTGCCCGCAGAGGTGTAGCGTTAGTGTCAGGGTTACCGGAAGACACAGAATATGGGGGGAAAAGGAAGGGGGGGGGGAAGGAAGGGGGGGGGGGAGTTTCATTTGGTTTTTTTAATGGTGGGAGGTTGGGGAAGTTAATACTCTAAGCCCAGCGGTTCTTAACCAGGGGTGCCCGCAGAGGTGTAGCGTTAGTGTCAGGGTTACCGGAAGACACAGAATATGGGGGGAAAAGGAAGGGGGGGGGAAGGAAGGGGGGGGGGTAATTTCATTTGATTTTTTTAATCGTGGGAAGTTCGGGAATTTGTCTTGAAATCCAAAGGGGGTGTGGGAATTTTTTTGAAAAAAGGGGCTGGGGGGCGTGTGGCGCTGCAAAAAAGGTTAAGAACCCTTGCCAGATGATATTCAACTATTTAAATGTCAATCATTTTTCTAACGTGGAGGAGCTTCAGTCCAATATTACAATGTATCGTTCCAAGGTTTTCATGACAAAGAGAGATCACGTCTGTCGGGTGACGACTGCTCAGAGCAGAAATATACAGCTTCATGGTTTATATAATTAGCGCAGTTTGTGCGTGGTACAAGAATGAGTAGAAAGCTCAACATTGATTTAGAAATACTTTTGTTTTTAATGTCTGCTGGTAAAATCGGGTTATGTGCAACTATCTGTAGATGGCAAGTGGACGAGATCAGAGAAACACTGTGCCAATCAGAGTGAGTCACTTCGTATTTGTTCAAGAGGCAAAGTGAAGTTGACAGGGCTAAGAGAGAGAGAGAGTGTGTGTGTGGGGGGGGGGGAGGGGAGGGGGTTGTATAATGTTTATGTCTGATTCTGTCACTGGCAAGGAACATCCAAACTAATGTGACAATGAAAAGATTCAAAAATTAGGACTAGACGCGTGGTCGTTTAATTGAGCAAAAGTTTATACAAAGAATACCAGAGTTGACAGGGCTAAGAGAGAGAGAGAGTGTGTGTGTGGGGGGGGGGAGGGGAGGGGGTTGTATAATGTTTATGTCTGATTCTGTCACTGGCAAGTAACATCCAAACTAATGTGACAATGAAAAGATTCAAAAATTAGGACTAGACGCGTGGTCGTTTAATTGAGCAAAAGTTTATACACAGAATACCAGCGAAAGTTAAAGTGAGATAGCTGTTACAGAAATAAATTTATGAACTTCCACATTAATTTACTGAGATTATTATTTTACTCACTGGTTAACTTTGCTATTCTCATTCAAAACACCTCAACTCCAAATACCCACGCGGAGACAAACACACAAATCCCCATCTAAAAGTTATCTATATATATTTTTTGTAAATATTTTATCTTAAATACCGTTCATTAAAAATTCAACAAACTACTTCTCCGATATTATGGCACATTCCAGGCCGGACATCAACCAACCCTATTTGTCGTAGAGATGGTTTAGTCAGAGCCCCAAGTCCGAGCCTCATTTTTTTAACTGGCTCGCGTCTCCGAGAAAATCCTGGAACCTTATCCCCAAAATTGTTAGTTCTTAATCCCTTGTTTAAAAAATGCCACCATTCTATACCGCTGCCTTCTATTGTTCGACAGATCTGCCGTCCACTGAAGCCGGGCATGACCAAGAAGACCGCCAAAATCGTGCTGGTTATTACAGGGGCGGTGTGCATCTTGCTGAGCTTGTGCACCCTGGTCATAAACGGACCCCAGGTGGTGCAGATCAAGATACGCAGCTTTGTGGTCAACACCACCATCTGTCGGTACGACAAGGAGTACGAGGGGAAGCTGCTGCAGCAGGCCTTCTCGTACCTCCTCCTCCTGGCCTTTGTGCTGGTGCTCACGCTAACAGTCACATTCTACGTCATGGTGTCCAGAGCTCTGCAGAGTTTCGAGCGCAGGAACTCGACCATCTCGGCAGCCGCCTCGCCCGACGTCGACAGCGCGAACAAAGAGTTCCAGTACGGCGAAAACTCGGACAGGCACCGCCACGAGTACCTCGAAACCCGCGCTTCCGTTTTCTCGGTGACCAGCGGCGGGGACAGGATCTCGGTACACATGTACAAAATGTTCACAATCGTCACGGGGATCTTCGTGCTCAGCTACCTGCCTCACCTGGTCGTCCTCATCCTCCTCAAGGCCATGAGGCTCGACCACCGCGTGCTGACCTACACCCAGCGGGTGCTCCTGGAGCTGGCCTACAACTGCCCGTACATCAGCACGATCGCCAACCCGGTCGTCTACGGCTTCAGGAGCGCCGAGTTCCGGGAGCACTGCCGGCACTTGCTCACCTGCAGGAGGTGGCGACAGAGGCGGGCGTACCTGAGATAACGTGGCCCCTGCCTTGTCTTGCAATCTAAATGTAAGCTTACCTCAGAGCAATGGAAGCAGAAAATGGAAAATGACACCCACGGCCACACTGGCATAAGACACTGTAGTCTCATTCGCTCTGATATAAGATATTGTAGACATATTCACTCTGACATAAGACATCATATTTACATATTCGTTGAAATTTGTGTATGTCTCCAAATGTTTCTAATTTCCAACAGTGCTGACGATATTTTGGATATTGTCCACCCCAGTTCACGCCAGTGACTTTGCTACAATACCTTTTCAAGCAAGGAAATCTAAAGCATCCGTGTCTACCAAAGCACAGAAGAAACAGAAATTATTGCATTTGACGGAAAGTACCAGAATTGACAAACGTCAAACTTGAAACTGGGCAAAAAACTGTTTTGGATATGCTAATTATGAAGTCATACATGAATTCCTTTGGAGAGATACCAACTTGGGCCAACGGCATCGTACGTGTTATGTTTATCATTCGGTGAAACTGATTCTATCATACACTTTAAAGATGTGCAATTAACTAATTAAGAGTATGATTGGTATTTAACACACAAAAAAGACTATCAGTCTTAGAATGCATGGAGCAGAAAACAGGAAGTGTTCCTAGAGCCACGTGACAGGGAACCGTACAGACAATAAGTATTAATGGACTCCTACAAAACAAAGGTTATGTGCAAAGAAGATATGACGTATCAAACGAAGGGCACATTTTGTGCACATGATACTGAGGTTTTCAAATCTGGGGCCGATTACATCCCTCAACCTTATCCAGCCAGGGGACCCTGATTCTGCTATGGCTCGCTTTAGACACAGCCCAAAAACAAATGTACCAAGTATATATATAAGGTGATGTGTACCGTGTTTTTTTTTTTTTTTTTGGTATATAAGGTGATGTGTACCGTGTTTTTTTTTTTTTTTTGGTAACCACAGACTGACACTTCCCCCGCCAGTTTTCCTTCATCTCTCACTCTCAAGGAACACTACCACAGACTGACTCTCAAAACGGTACCCCTAAACATTTCACCATTCCCCCTCCAGACGAGATTACAGTGTTCCTCAAACGGGATAAGCCGCCACACTGGTTCCCTCAAAGTGAGACACACAATGGCATTTACATATATATATATATAAATAAATACATTAATATAATTTACAATTACCATGTACTCATTTTATTCATTTATTTATCGAGTGCCTTTTCACTGGGATTCTGTGTTTAAAACTCCTCAGCCAAAACCAACTTCAACTCTGATAGTGGCTACTTCATTCTTCTTCTAAGTACTGACTGATTTCAGAAGAAATAAACATGAGCTTAGCCATACATGTGTAGCTGGGTGTTTGGTGTAATGAGAACCTACAATACAGTCGAAGTTGGGTGTTTGGTGTAATGAGAACCTACAATACAGGTGAAGTTGGGTGTTTGGGGTAATGCGAACCTATAATACAGGTGAAGTTGGGTGTTTGGGGTAATGAGAACCTACAATACAGGTGAGGTTGGGTGTTTGGGGTAATGAGAACCTACAATACCGGTGAGGTTGGGTGTTTGGGGTAATGAGAACCTACAATACAGGTGAGGTTGGGTGTTTGGGGTAATGAGAACCTACAATACAGGTGAGGTTGGGTGTTTGGGGTAATGAGAACCTACAATACAGGTGAAGTTGGGTGTTTGGGGTAATGAGAACCTACAATACAGGTGAAGTTGGGTGTTATTATTATTTTGTTGGAAGTGGGGCGGCAAAAAAAACAACCCTAGCTACACCACAGGCTGCACCAACTATAGATACGCCACAGGCAGCACCAACCCTAGCTACATAACAGGTGACACAAACCCTAGCTACATAACATGTGGCACCAACCCTAGCTACATAACATGTGGCACCAACCCTAGCTACATAACATGTGGCACCAACCCTAGCTGCACCACAAGTGGCAGCAACCATAGATACACCACAGGCAGCACCAACCCTAGCTACACCACAGGTGGCACCAACCCTAGCTACACCACAGGTGGCACCAACCCTAGCTACATAACATGTGGCACCAACCCTAGCTACATAACATGTGGCACCAACCCTAGCTACATAACATGTGGCACCAACCCTAGCTACATAACATGTGGCACCAACCCTAGCTACATAACATGTGGCACCAACCCTAGCTACATAACATGTGGCACCAACCCTAGCTACATAACATGTGGCACCAACCCTAGCTACATAACATGTGGCACCAACCCTAGCTACATAACATGTGGCACCAACCCTAGCTACATAACATGTGGCACCAACCCTAGCTACATAACATGTGGCACCAACCCTAGCTACATAACATGTGGCACCAACCCTAGCTACATAACATGTGGCACCAACCCTAGCTACACAACATGTGGCACCAACCCTAGCTACACAACATGTGGCACCAACCCTAGCTACACAACATGTGGCACCAACCCTAGCTACACAACATGTGGCACCAACCCTAGCTACACAACAGGTGGCACCAACCCTAGCTACATAACAGGTGGCACCAACTCTAGCTACACCACAGGTGGCACCAACCCTAGCTACATAACAGGTGGCACCAACCCTAGCTACATAACAGGCGGCACCAACCCTAGCTACACCACAGGTGGCACCAACTCTAGCTATATAACAGGTGGCACCAACCCTAGCTACATAACAGGTGGCACCAACTCTAGCTGCACCACAGGTGGCACCAACTCTAGCTACACAACATGCGGCACCAGCCCTAGCTACATAACAGGTGGCACCAACCCTAGCTACATAACAGGTGGCACCAACCCTAGCTACATAACAGGCAACACCAACCCTAGTTATATAACAGGCGGCACCAACCCTAGCTACACAACAGGCGGCACCAACCCTAGCTACACCACAGATGGCACCATTCCTAGCTACATAACATGTGGCACCAATCCTAGATACATAACAGGCGGCACCAACCCTAGCTACACCACTGGGGACACCAACCCCTAGCTACACCACTGGGGGCACCACCCTAGCTACACTACTGTTGGCACCAACCCCAGCTACATAACAGGCAGCACCAATCCTAGATACATAACAGGCGGCACCAACCCTAGCTACACCACAGGGGACACCAACCCCTAGCTACACCGCTGGGGGCACCACCCTAGCTACACTACTGTTGGCACCAACCCCAGCTACATAACAGGCAGCACCAATCCTAGATACATAACAGGCGGCACCCTAAACCAACCCTAGCTACATAACAGGTGGCACCAACCCTAGCTACACTACAGGCAGCACCAACCCTAGATACACCACAGGCAGCACCAACCCTAGCTACACCACAGGCAGCACCAACCTTAGCTACACCACAGGCAGCACCAACCCTAGCTACACCCCAGGTGGCACCCTTAACCAACCCTAGCTACATAACAGGTGGCACCAACCCTAGCTACACCACAGGCAGCACCAACCCTAGCTACATAACAGGTGGCACCAACCCTAGCTACACCACAGGCGGCACCAACCGTAGCTACACCACAGGTGGCATCAACGCTGCCACTGCCAAAAGACCATGAATTACACCAGCCCATATCAGATGTTTGACATTGTGTATGTCATGGGGGGGGGGCGCACTTTGCTGACCTCCAGCTGTTAATACAGCAGTCTTACACAATACAGACTGACATGTTCATACCCCACACATAATGTTTATTCATATTGCGTAACTAACAGTTAGATGCAAGCAAGTGCAAAGATGCAAGGCCTTCTGTAAGATGAGATTAACAATGTGTTTTGAAATACTGGTGTGGGAAATGTTGGGCAGGAGGGCCATGACAGCATTCCCAGATAACAACAGACCTTAACAGGCAAGGATAAACACTGACTTCTCTCAGTTTATAAACAACGGTATCTTGCCGAATTCTGGCATTTATTTGAAATCGGGGGGAGGGGAGGGAATCTTAATTCCCCTTAAAGTTATAGCAGTGATTACAATGCTATGGGAGAAAACTGCAGAACAGCCAACAAAACCAACAAACAAAAGAAGACTGGCCAATGACCTGCCTTGATCTCTGTATAACAATAATCTCACATTTTAATTTTATTCTAAAAACTGACTTCTGAAGGCAGTGATTAATAATATGCTATTGCCCACAAAGCTTTGCCCACAAAGCTTTGCCCGCAAACAAACATTTCACGTTCGGTCTCAGCAAAAAACTATATAACAAGCGTGACACCAGTCAAACCAGCAGGTCATCATTCTTATCTTCCATTCTAAAGATTAATGGCCATCAGCATTATTGTAAACCCCATGAATTAACCAACCAGACGTGATGCCTCCTTAATGATGTCAGGTTCTCCCCCCCACCCCAACAATTTTCTTGAACATTTTGAATGGCTTCTGAGTGTAAAAATTGAGAAATCATTTAATTTTTGAGAATCTCCAACATTTGCGATATCAATGCTTCCAGCTGATGGGTGAACAACCCCAGAACCAGGTGTTGACAGATAAAAAAATCCCAGAACCAGGTGTTGACAGATAAACAGTCCCTGAACCAGGTGTTGACAGATAAACAATCCATGAACCAGTTGACGACAGATAAGCAATCCCTGAACCAGTTTATAAATAAACAAGTCCAAAACCAGTTGAACCAGTTGTCGATAGAAAAAACAATCCCTCAAGCAGCCATTCTGTAGTGCTTCCATACAACAAGATACACTACAGCCTTAATGTATACCAGAGATCCTATTTCTAGCCTCTACAGGGCTTGATTTTTTGGCTATTTGAAGAACCTCTTCTTTTTTCTATGCTTACTTTAACAGTATATAATGATAGATCAGCCCCTGTAGTGACTTTCAGTCTTCATCAGTCCAGTGTTTTAATGGCATCCTGAAAGATATGACCTTAGATCAGGCCTGCCCTAGATGTGGACTTTTTGGCACTTTACCCTAACTTTTTCATATCTGTAGTGACTAAAGTCATACTTGTAAAGATTAAAGGTCATTTCTTTAGTGACTAAAGGTCATATCTGTAGTGACTAAAGGTCATATCTGTCGTGACTAAAGTTCATATCTGTCGTGACTAAAGGTCATATCTTTAGTGACTAAAGGTCATATCTGTAGTGACTTAAGTTCATATCTGTCGCGACTAAAGGTCATATCTTTAGTGACTAAAGGTCATATCTGTAGTGACTAAAGATCATATCTGTAGTGACTAAAGGTCATATCTGTCGTGACTAAAGGTCATATCTTTCGTGACTAAAACTTATATCTGTAGTGACTAAAGATCATATCTGTAGTGACTAAAGGTCATATCTGCAGTGACTAAAGGTCATATCTGTAGTGACAAAAACTTATATCTGTAGTGACTTAAACTCATATCTGTAGTGACTAAAGGTCATATCTGTAGTGACTAAAGATCATATCTGTAGTGACTAAAAGTCATATCTGTAGTGACTAAAGGTCATATCTTTAGTGACTAAAGGTCATATCTGTAGTGACTTAAGTTCATATCTGTCGTGACTAAAGGTCATATCTGTAGTGACTAAAGGTCATATCTGTTGTGACTAAAACTTATATATGTAGTGACTTAAACTCATATCTGTAGTGACTAAAGATCATATCTGTAGTGATTAAAGGTTATATCTGTAGTGATTAAAGGTCATGCTTAAAAGCTGACACGAGATCGGGAACCAGTGCATTTAATCTTTTACATGAATGAGAGAGAGAGAGAGAGAGAGAGAGGATGTCCTACCTTGTCCACTATTTTTCCTGTAACTCCCATTCCGTTTAAAAGAGTAACCTGCAAAAAAAATATGTCAACATTCATCAATAAAAGGGTTATGAAAGTAAATTATTGACTAGGATCATGTTGTTTCAACCATGTCTACATGCATGAATCAATTAAGCTACGATGACTCTTTGGCACCACTTAGAGAGGCTGTTGAGGTGAACAAATATTTGGCAACCACTGATGCTGTACCACTTAGAGAGGCTGTTGAGGTGAACAAATATTTGGCAACCACTGATGCTGTACCACTTAGAGAGGCTGTTGAGGTGAACAAATATTTGGCAACCACTGATGCTGTACCACTTAGAGAGGCTGTTGAGGTGAACAAATATTTGGCAACCACTGATGCTGTACCACTTAGAGAG